TGAGAGAGTGGTCTGTCCACCAGTACCTGTCTGTCTGTTTGTCGGATTCCCCACTTGTCTGTATCACTGGTGTTCGTTTGTTTTGTTGGGATTTTGCGCTGTGGGAGAGATGTTGGGTGTTGCTCAGATCAGCGGGTTATTGTCTTTAATCTTTACCGACAGTCACAGTCCTGATTCCAAGTGGATTCCCAACAGATTGGGCATTTATTATCCCCAAAGTGTTTCAAAACGCTTTTTAAAAAGAGTTAAACCCGATGGGAACGGGGAGAGAGGTGAGCCACGGATGCGACTGGTGAGGGAGCAACAGATGTATATGATGCCTTTAGCCTCAGTGTAAAGGATTAAACCAGGAGGTTGTGAATAAAGGCCGAAATGTGGACTCATATAGAGAGACTCACTGTTAACCAAAGACATGCCCAGAGAAGCCAGGGCCATCGAGAGTGTCTGTGATCCAGTCTGTGTGTCTGTGATCCAGTCTGTGTACCTGTGATCCAGTCTGTGTACCTGTGATCCAGTCTGTGGACCTGTGATCCAGTCTGTGTGCCTGTGATCCAGTCTGTGTGCCTGTGATCCAGTCTGTGTGTTTGTGATCTAGTCTGTGTGTCTGTGATCTAGTCTGTCTACCTGTGATCCAGTCTGTGTACCTGTGATCCAGTCTGTGTGCCTGTGATCCAGTCTGTGTGTCTGTGATCCAGTCTGTGTACCTGTGATCCAGTCTGTGTGCCTGTGATCCAGTCTGTGTGTTTGTGATCTAGTCTGTGTGTCTGTGATCTAGTCTGTCTACCTGTGATCCAGTCTGTGTACCTGTGATCCAGTCTGTGTACCTGTGATCCAGTCTGTGTACCTGTGATCCAGTCTGTGTGTCTGTAATCCAGTCTGTGTGTCTGTAATCTAGTCTGTGTGCCTGTGATCCAGTCTGTGTGTCTGTGATCCAGTCTGTGTGTCTGTGATCCAGTCTGTGTGCCTAAGCGTGTTTTAAATAGTGATCGAGTTTTAAATAGGTTTGCTTGGAGTGCACTGCAGTGCCCGAGTCAAACACACTCTGTCAGTTCAGCAACTACCTGTTTGTGGTGGGGGCTTTTTAATGGACAGAAATTGAAACGAATCTGCGCAGAAGTCCCACAGTTGGTGATCAAAAATATGGTGTATTTGGAAGGTTTGTGTGTGGTTTGAGCGATTTGGGGAGAGAGCAATAAAAATGATCCCAGACCACCCCCCCCCCGCCACCCCACCCCCCCCCCCCCCAAAAAAAAACAACAACATGAAAGCACGGTGTGAGCTGTCATTATTTGTAATTGACCAACTACAGCGATCTGAACCACCTTCATTATCGCCCAGTGGGGAAAAAAATGCATATTTTAAATTTTAAATGAACTTGGGCTAAGTATTACACATGTATACACACAAACACACACACACACACACACACACACACAACACAACTCTAACGCCATCTCCGGGGTGGTGGGGGGGGGAACCCGAATAGTATTCGATAATAATTAGCATTTCCTTTCCATCCTGCTATTTGGCCACGAGGCTGTTGTGGTACAGGTTACAAGAGCTTGTGGTCCTCTTTCTGGAGCGGGGTCCGGTTTAATAACGTGGAGAGAAAGAAACGCCACTAGTTGCTGAGATTAAAATCGTTGCCCCCAGACCTCTGCGTTGCACAGACATGTAAATAAGGAGCAGCGATCTTATTTGGACCTCTTTTAACATCAAAAGCACAGTAACACGATCGCCTTGCACGCTGTTTGCACATCTAGATTTTCTTTCATAATATTTCAAGGTCCAATCATTCGTGTTAGGATTTTATCTTCTTGCGGATTTTTACTTAGACTAACTCTCTTCCAGCTAAATCATTGTTAAATTCAACAAACGTCGACTGCTGTTAACTTGGTCACTGCATATCTTTTTTTTAAAAAAAACATTCGAGTGTGGACAGGGATGTGTTGCAAATCTTCTACAATCCCGCTATCTGCTTGATATTATTTTATATTCCACGGGGTACGCGGAAAACCGTTTAAGCACACATTTAGTCATGAAGGTTTTTAACGATTCCATCATATCAGCACCACACGGCCACAGAACATACAGTCAAATTTGCTTTACAGTATATTCTGGTGAAGCGCCTTGAGACGTCTCGACGACGTGATAAATAAGGCTCAAAATCAAGTGCAAAGATTATTATTGTGGTCAATGATCTCGCACATCTGCACCTCGCTCGCCTTTTGAATGGAGAGGCAATGCAAAAAGGGGCCCAACTTGCATCGTTGTTCCTAACTAATCGCTCAGCCAGGGTTTTATTTCCTTGCAGTGTTTTTTTTGTACACAGCGACATTTTTTTGGCAAGATCCATCCACTGCACAAAACCCAGATAACCTGACCCAATGAAGAGTTTCAACCAGTCGAAGGCGAGCGCCAGCAACGTGCTGCCTCCTTATTTTGAGTCTTTCGCTGCTTCTAATTCGTAAGCGACTGGGAAGGAAAACGTTGACGACTGAAAATGACTGCTATCTTCGAGGCGAAGTGCAATAAATGGTGCAGAATGAAAACGCGGTGGTGGGGGTCGGGGGGGGTGGGGGGGGTGGGGGGGTGTAGTCATACTGTTTTAACTCTGGACTATTCCTCATGCAATGCGTTGATCTATATTCCAAATGCAAAGCCATCGTTTTGCTGGTAGATGAAAGAATTGATCTAGATGCCAGTCTGTAGGATATATATATATATATGATTAAAGCTCCCCCCCCCCCTCCACGCCCCCTCTCTGTCCCTCTCCTCCCCCCTCAGGAAGAGAGGGAATTTAGGTTCTAAAGCAGGTTAAATTCGCTTCGGGATTAGGGGACACCCCCCCACCCCTTCTGATGCAAAACAATCTATTTCTGGGATGTCCATGTGTAAGTGGGATGCATGGACTTCTCAGTGTGGTTTGGATACTCTTGAGCCTGGTGATGGGTGTCCCCATGTGTCAGACACCCATCCACCCACCTGCCTGACCAAAAAAAATGCAACACCATCTTAAGTTTGACACGTTCAGTTCAACGACTTAAGCGAATACTATCAATATACGGTGACTGACTTGACTGCGTTTCTATAGCAAAGAGAATGAATCTGCTTTTACCACTCTGGCGGCTGCTGTGGCGACAAAGTGCAACAAATAGTGTAATGACAACAGTTGTGACAGTCGTTCAGATGTGGAGCAAGCGTTTACAGGTTCCTCTGCCTTTATCAAAGACAGGAAAGCAAAAAAAAATCTTCTCCTGATGTTTCCCAAATGGCCTGACACTGCTTTAAGACAAATTCTTCCCAACTACTTGCACACCTGTCTCCCATTTTATCTGTTTTAACCTGAGCTTTCACCCTATTCCATCACACACACACACACAGACACACACACACACTCACACACACAAACATACACACACTCACACACACACTCACACACACACACACACACTCACACAGACACTCACACACACACTCACAGATGATTCCTTTAAACGGGAGCACAGGCATTTACACATATCCTCGTCACCAACACTGTATTCCTTTATTTTAATCTCACAATTAAACAGAAAGTGCATATTTATCCGGCTTCAGTCGAATTACATGAATTCCGTACGAATGTGCGATGGTGGGGGCAAGGGGTGTGTGTGTGTGGGAGTGGGGGTGGGGTGGGGGGGTGGGGGGGAGTGGTTAGAGAGGCTGTATGGTATATGGACTTAACACTAAAAGCGAGGTTGAAATTATTGTGTTCTTCCAAAGTACATGAACTAAGTTGCTGCCCCCCACCCCCCCCCCACCCCCCATAAAAAAATCAAGCGGGTCCCAACAATAAGATTTGTGAACAATTTAAGCCACTAACACACAACCACGAACACCCTCTTTTAATGAATAAACAATTTCTCGCTTATTTGAACCGATATCCCACCGTTGTTGGGGGTGGTGGGGGGGCTGGGGGTGGGGTGGGGTGGGGGGGGGTGTTGTTGTTGATTCAAATGCAAATTTGACTCTTGGGAAAAATATATATTCAGTCTGGCCATTAAACATCAATAAATCTGTTGCAAACGCCCACCATTATATTTATCTCTCAACGGGAAAAATGTTTTTGAAAAAAATCTCAAGGGGCAATGGTAATATATACAGTATTAGCGCAAATACTGTAAGTCAAAGCAATCGTTTGGTTGGTATAAATGTTGCGACTAACAGTATGGATCTTGGCTGCAGTTGAAAAATAATATGGAAACATGGGGTGGGGGGGGGGGGCGGGGGGGTATAGTGGGGAAAGTCTCAAACCCACTTGCGAAGATCTTGGATAGTGATCAGGGGCTCAACTGAATAAAGCCCTCTGTTTAACAAGAAACTTCCCTGCAAGAGTCGCCTGGAAATAGGGACGATCGTTTAACTCCAGATGACCGTGTGATTTATTAAAACGCCTTAAAAGATATTCCACCCACACCAATCCTGCCAAAGGCTTGGCAATTCGGTTTCCACCAGATTTCCAAACACCAACTCAAAACGAAACGAACCTGTACATTAATAACCAGCCCTCCCAGGCTGGCTTTAAACGCATCTTTGCCTTATACAAAAAGTATTTTACACATAAATATTCACAGTTATCCTCTCNTTTTTTTTCCTGTTCGGTATTTAATACACGAGTTATTTACATGTATCGCCCACACCCCCACCCCCACCCCCAACAAAAAAAAACGTATTTCCGGTCTGAATATATATACTGTATATATATATATACCTATTTTGGTATAAAATATCTTCCACAAACCAGAGATTAACCCAGTTGGAGATCAAACGAGTTGTGTCCTTTTGAGTAGACGTGTACCAGAAGATATGTTGGATCGGTGCTAAGAAGCCGTGGGCTTGAGATCAGTCTTCTCATAACTTATAGACTATAAAAATATATACATCTCTGAAAATGTACACAGAGAAAGAGAGCGAGAGAGAGAGAGAGAGAGAGAGAGACTGGCAGAGTGAGTTCAGGGCTTTGGGAAGGTTACCAACGAGTCCTCGACCTCTGCTTTAGGAGCTTTCGTTTTCACTTGTGTGGACTTGCAAAGCGGTGGGTTTGTGTTTCTTCAGTAATTGGGTGATCTTCTCGTCGTCCGAATTGGGATCCAAAGGCTTGTTGTACTCATCGTCCTCCTCTTCGTTTTCCGACGTGCCTTTCAGCCTCTCTGTCTCAGAGTCCTGTTTCTTCTTGGCTGTTGCCATTTCAGCCGCGTGTTTCTTCCTCCATTTCGTCCTTCTGTTCTGGAACCAGACCTGGATTGAGAGAACAACACCTCGTTTGAACAGTCGCTGAAAAGAGCCTGAGCTATTTCCACGAAGAAACGCCTGGTCCTGCTCGTTGTCGTTGTTGTTGTTGCTGCTGCTGTTGTTGTTTGTTTGTGTGTGTGTGTGTGTGTGTGTGTGTGTGTGTGTGTGTGTCTTTTGCTTTTATTTTCATTGAACACACGTTTTATCCACTTTCGTGCTCTTGTTCGAAACTATCAGAAGTGAAATGCCACTTTCCAGAAAGGCTTCCTGCCCTCACCCCCTCCCTGCGCTGCAGAGAGATTCACACACTGTGGTACAATATTGCCCGCCGGTTAAGAAATCCTTACGTGCTCGCAGATTAGTTGTCACTAAAATGTATTCGTTATTCATTTCTGCAGAAGCCAGGAGGTTGGGATCAATTGTCATTAAGATGCATCGCATTTAAAATGCATACAGGTTTCTCTTAACCAAATGTAATTATGCCCTTTTAAAATATTGATGCCCCGTCTATCTAACCTGCATCTTCCAGTATCTTTACATCCCATCTGACTGCCTGTTGGCGAAACAATCCGTGAACGGTTTTAACTGAGAAATAAACACTCCAGCATATCTCAGTATCGAGTAGACTCGAAAACATAACCATTTGTATCAGCAAAGAGTGATATGTGTTCATCGCTGTGAGTTTAACATGACCAAAATGTGACTGATAAATATTATTACAGTATTTCCAGCCTTCTACAACGCCAGGTCAGAAAAGAGACCTCGCATACCCCAGGCCATAATCTATCCCACACTTGCAATGCACAATGTAAATCGCATTTGTTTGCTTTCATCAACTTTCTTTAACGGTTGGGGTAAATTTAGCTCTGCGTTCCCAGTCGTGGGCAAACGCTTCAGCAACGTGAAGACATAACAGATCACACCTCCAGCCCTTAAACCAGCAGAACTATTATCCCAAACTGCAAACCAACCCACAACATTTCCAGATCCGATACAACGCTCCTCGAAGATGCGAGAGAAAATGATATGTAAAACATCCAAACAAAAGGACAATTAATTATCTTACCACGGGGACGGGTTCGAGCCAATTTAATTTGATGCTGATATAAGACGCGGTGTGTCTAAAGCACGTTTATTTCTCAGTTAAAACCTTTCACGGGTTTCTCATAACTTGGGTGTCTTTTTGTGCGTGTGTTTTTTTTTAATTAAAATGAGTGCAAAAATTCGTTCAACCCAAGGCTAAAAAGGAGAAAGCACCGTGGGACTATGGACGTTAAATTAAGATATTTTCTGTGCTGCAATCCAGGTCTCACTAAGTGTTCCTGGACTGGACAGTAAAGTCGAAAGGCGTCGTTGTGCGGATGTCAAACCCGCCCGTTTCTAGATCCATTCGCCTTTTAATTCGAGTCGTTCAACGTTTTCTTAGTTATTTTGCACCTTTCTGGGGTTTGTTTGTTTTTTTAAAAAAGAGAGAGAGAGAAAGAGCGAGAGATACCTTTTGGTCTATTGCGTAAAATGCCATTTCCAAATCTAATGTTCTGGTGAACGTAAACTGAGAGCGTTTCCCTGGAATAGGATTTCTCTTCTGCATTCCTTACTATTTTATCTTATTTTATCTCGCCGCTGGCACACCGGGCAGAGCAATTCAAGCTTTGACAAGATAATCCTACCTTGACTTGACTCTCGGTCATCCCCAGTGAATATGCCAGCCTTGCCCTTTCAGGTCCGGCTAAATATTTAGTTTGCTCAAAGGTCTTTTCCAGGGCGAAAATCTGTTGTCCGGAGAACGTGGGTCTGGTATGTTTCCTCTTCCCGTCTTTATCAATTAGTACCGCCCCGTGATCTGAAATTACAATTTCCAAACACCCCCCCCAGCTTTAAAACAAAGATGAGCGAAAACTGCACGATTCTAGCAAAGCAATAATTACAAATAGAAGATATATATATATATATAGAGAGAGAGAGAGAGAGAGAGAGAGAGAGAGATGGCAAAACCCAACGTTTCGAAAATGTGATCATATGTATTTTTTTGGGGGGAGGGAGTTATTTCTCTATCCATTGCAACATCTCTGACATCTATAAATATAAAAGCATCAACTGGTTATGAAGTGCAGTCTCTTGAGTGATTCCAACAATGCAGAAACGAAAGGAGGGATGATTTTTTTTGGGGGGGGAAGGGGGATGAAAACAAAAACCCCTTGTGTTTTTTTAAAATATTTTCTCTAAAACGATGCAACATGTATCGAGCGCTTCACAATCAATCCATACAGTTGATGCAGTTAGTGGGTACAGATATGAATTGCTATATTATTAGTGAAGAGTCGAGCTCTGTAACTCGAAATGGTCTGCGAATGAGAGAGAGAGAGAGAGGGGGTGGGGGGATCTCTTGACTCGAAGAGTTGTTGGGGTTTTTTTTTTCTTTGCACTTGAATAATCTTTTTCGAAAAAAAAAAGCGATTTGTGATGATGAAGGCAACACAAAAAAAAGCCGCTCTCAACCAAACGAAACGAAACGAAACGAAACGCCCGTTCGGGCGTTTGGAATATTAAAAAAAAATGCTTTTTTTTTTGCCAAAGATCGGAATGAACGAAAGAAAAAAACGAAATCAGTGAGAAAGAGTGAATTTTTTTTTTGGGGGGTGGTGGTGGTGGGTGGGTGGGTGGTGGGTGTGGGGTGGGGGGGGGAGTGCAGTAACAGGAGTAAGTCGTAGCGAGTTGCAATAACCTAAATAATGAAAGGGATGGAGATGAGTCGAGTTGACACAGAGGGTAACGTAATATTTGGGGATAACGGTGCAAACGGGTGATGTGAGGCGCAGTATATGCGGGAGTCGGTGTCGTCTGGTTTGGAGGAACCGAGCAACTTTGGATCTGAGGTCCCCGAAGCTTCCCGCTGGGCTGTTGCAGACGAACCCCCACAGAGCATCGACTGCTTCCCGACATCTCCATTCCCGGCGCCGCACATACAAATGCGACCGCCGGGAGGGTGCGGGAGGGCCACCGGGTGGACCTCTCGGGTCCCCCAGTGGCTTCGTCTACGGCAAACTCGGCACTGTACTTACGCGGTGAGCAGCCCAGCCTGGCGTCCCTCCACGGGGGGCTCTGCATGACTCCCGGCCAGAAGATGGGGGTCCTCCCGGGCAGATCGGCCAGCGGTTTGGGGTAACGGGCCACGGCCGCCGCCGCTGCCGCCGCCGCCGCCGCCGCGCTGGGACTGAAGTACATCCCCGGGGGCGGGGGGCTGAGGCTGGTGTTGAACCGGGGGATCCCGGAGAGCAAGCCAGAGGCCACCCCTCCTCCCCCCCCGGCGACCCCACCACCTCCCCCGCCGATTATCATCAGCGGCCGGTTCAGGATGTCGTTGATGCCGTGCGGGGTGGCGGAGGAGGAGAGCGGGTGGCAGGTCGGGGCGGACAGACCGGAGGTGCACTTGAGTCCTGTGGCGTTGGGAGAGGCGCCGGTGCTGATCCCGTGTGGGCTGGAGTTGGACGAGGAGGAGGAGGAGGAGGAGGAGGAGCAGGGACCCCCAGCGCCGCTGAGCCCCGCCGCCAGGGAATAGGGGTACAGGGGGTTCTTCATCTCGGTCATGCTGTGCAGAGCCGCCAGGGGTGGGCTGCTCAACACGAAAGCGCTCTGCCGGCTCCCATCCATCTGCCCGACCGCTAACATCACCAAAAGCGGCCAGATTTCTAACCACCAGTGTCCTGAGCGAGAAGAGAGAGACAGAGAGAGAGAGAGGGAGTGGGTGGGTGGGTGGGTGGGGATGGGGTGGGTGGGGGTTGGGGAGGGGGAGGAGGGGATGGATGGAGGGGGCAATGGGGTGGGGTGGATGTCAGCGGCTTCTTCCCCACCAAAAAAAAAATCTCTCCAACAAAGTCCAGTTATTTTTTTCCACCCCTTCTGATTTGATCCTTCGTCGCGTTTACTTTTAAGATCTAACCGAACACACCCAACCAACTAACCAACAACAAAAAAACAACAACACACACACGCACACACACACACACACACAAATAAATAAAACCGAAATGCCAAAACGAAAAGAAAATTCAGCTTTTAGATTCCCAGGTGCAGTGATGGGTTGGTTGGTTGGTTGGTTGGTTTGGTTGGTTGGTTGGTTGGTTGTTGGATGGCTGGGGAGGTGCTTGCTCTCTCTCTCTCTCTCTCTCTCTCGGAATGATTGCATCTATATTTCCATGTGGGGAGAGAGAGAGAGAGAGAGAAAGAAAGAAAGGGAGAGAGTAAGAGAGAGAGAAAGAGAGAAAGAGAGGGAGAAAAAAGGTAAAAGACTTATTGAGCTCTTGTCCTGCCACCCCAGATGAAACGCTCTGAGGCAATAAAACACTCTCATCACTTCAGGCCGCTTTCTATCTATACTGTTGGAGGGAAAGTGCCTCAAACTTTCCTCCTGTCAATCAAGGCGACCAGTCAGGCCAAGAAGGAGGTATTGTGAGAGTCCATTGGCAGATGGCGAGGAGACACCGGGGCTCCAGTCGCCCAACACACGCCTGGATCTGATCCTCATGGACCTGCCATTGGCTCTGGTGTCCAAGTCCCACCTCTGGGCTGTTTGCATCGCCGAGAGACGGGAAGAGAAAGCTTCAAAACCTCAATAGCAAACAGAACGAGAGAGAGAAAGAGCCAAACTATTTTTTACAACTCGTCCTTTTTTTTTCTGGAGGACTTTTAATAAAATCACCAGTCACTGCTTTGTTTTGTTAAACTAACGATCGGATCTCTTTGTGTTTTAAGAATTGGATTGGTGGGAAGTTATTTTGGGGGGTGGGGTGGGTGTTGGGGGGTGGGGGGGGGGGGCGGTGGTGGGTAAAGGAAAGGGAAAACAATTCTCGATGCAATAGATCTGCACAAAGCAGAGTGTTTCAGTTGTTAAGATGTTAATTGGGTAACATATGCTTCCCAAGGAATGTGTAAATTAACTCGTTTTTCATTAAACAAGAGTGGATGTTGAAATATCGTCCGGCAGATTGACACTGGGACATAAAACGAGTGCAGATGAACACACGCGTCGCTATGGGCTGTTCGAGACTGCACACACTTCTTTCTGATGAGCTCCAAGTGCTACACAGAGAAGTTTATTTTAACATAATTACAAGACCACAATATTTGTTTCCACTAACCTGTAGTTGTTTCTTTTAATGAGAAATCAAATCAAACATATCCTATCCTTCGTCGGATGATATCAAGACACGTTGCAAACCAAATCGTTTTTACACGGAAACTACAGCAATTGTATAAAATTAGAATTTGAAATACGAGAGGACATTTACCAGAATCGTGTAACTATGATATTGTAGGGTTAGACCGATCTTTTAAAGACGCGCGAATATTCAGAACAATTAACCTCAGTAAAAATAGTCGTCCACACAACCCAACAACACTGAAATTCACAGTGTCATTTGCTAATGTTCCGTTATTAATCGATAGACATTGGAAAACAGCAGAAAACGTTTCATATGCATATGCTGTATATTACACACCGCAGCGTTTCTCTTTAGTAGATTTTTATTGCGTTTCATAAAGGCATCTGCATTAATGTCAACAGTACAGTGTACTGTCATTATTGGATCACACACAGCGCAATGCAAGTGGCGAAAATTAACTCGCCCTTCACCTCACCTCACCTCACCTCTGCTAATAACCCTTGCAATTGGTATACAATAGCGCCGTTCACGTCTGGGAGGCGTTTCAAAGCGCTCCACATGGTTCACTGTAAAGTGTAGTGACTGTACTTTGCACGCGACTGTATTTAGCAGCCAATTTGCGCCGAGCAATGCGAAGAGTCGTTGACTCAGATAAGCGTTAACCTGACTTGTTCTTTCAGGTGAAAATTGAGCCGCCGTGGGCTGCGGGGATTTCCAGTTTTATCGGTCTGTGCATCTTTTCCTTCACTTGGATAATACAGGAGACGATTTATTGCCTTATCTGAAATCGGTTCCAAAATGTGTTTGGATGAAAAAAAAATCGACTTTCCTTTTGGTTACAAAAGAAACACAAGTCAGCGGCGAGAATATATCAGATAATGATACACTGTGTTTTAGGAAGTACAAATACAGCCAATTCTTTGGAGATTGGTGTGTCTCTGATCTCACTTTTGTACAACTCTGTTCTATATTTTGAATCACAAACTGGAAACTTTGCAGTGAGATGACCAAAGTAGAGACGATGTAAGTAATTGTAATGGAATAAGCTGTACAGTAAGCCGCACTTTTATGGCTTAAAAGGAATGATTCATAATAAAATGAGTCTTCTTTCTCGAACTGCAAGATTTTCTTAAAATCACATTTTTCAAAAATAGTGTATACTTCCCCAAATGATCTGTTATATCACATATGCACATCTGCTCTATAAATGCTAACCACTGCCCTGTGTGTACATCTACCCGGGCAGGTTATTTATACAGTAAATATGAATGTGCTGGAGATCAGAAGTAACCACAAGCAAAAATATCTTCAATTTTAAAAGGAAACGCGGAATTTCTGTCAGATGGCTGCAAAATTCAATGCGTCTGTGCAGCTCTTATTGACAAGAAGACACCTTAATGTATAGCTACAGATAGATGTGTCAATTACTCTGGTAATTGTTTTTTATTGGTATGAAAAAAAAACTAGTCCTTGCTCAGTACAGTACATGTTCACCTGCACCCAAATTGTGTTGGTTTCAGTGTCACATCCAATACTTTGTGGATTCGAAGAACATTTTTTTTAAAATTGTAATCAATATTGATATTTTGTAAATAATTCTTACTCACGTTGATGGGGTTTTTTTTGGTTCAGGAGCGGTAACTTTTAGTTATACAGCTGATATCTATCCAGAGGTTACACTTCTGAACCTTATTCCAACAGGAATTTCTGCATGTCTACAGCACCTCTGCCGGGTCCTAGTGCCGCTGATATTACACCAATTTTGGGCACTAAAGCCCCTTCAATGTATCGACCAATGTTGGGTTTACTGCTAATGTTAATATCGCGGATCGCTTTTTGGGTCTAATAATTCCTCGAAAAGAATTGCTCACTCAATCCACGACTGTTTGTGGGACACTGTTGTACGCAATTTGGCTGCTGTGTTTCGCCCACAAAACACACAGTCAATGCACTTTACAGTCTATCCTGTGAAGCTCTTTGAGACGTCTCAACGACGTGATCAGGCACTATTATCAAATGCAAGGATTATTATCGTTATCGCTATCTTACGGCAGTAAAGCACTTTTTTTTCCCAGTCGATTCACACAGAAACATTTTGTTTGAAAAGAACAGTGACAAGTCAACTTTTTAACAAAGAATATTTAACAGTTTAAATCGGCGAGAGAGCACTGTTTTTGCGTATAACCGTATATATCTGCACCCACATCATTTATCATAAAATGTTCATGCGGAACAAAACGTCTGTGTGGAATTGTCAGGTACAGTTAATCCTGAAGGTAAGATTGGGTATGTAGTCTTTGAATTAAGTCTCGATTTCCAAACTGCATACAATTGCAGTGTATAATGAGGCAACACGTACGTTCGTAGAATTGCAGACAGATTAGACTGTAGCGGAAAACATACATAGAAAGAAATAAGAGGTCTGATTTAAAGGGGACTCGGTGTGATGTTGGGTGACCAGTCGCTGAGCTCTGAGACCGGTCCTATGGATGGAATTGCATTGACAACTATTGCACTCAATCGCTCACACCGCGACACCTGGCGGTGACAAGCGTGGGTGCAGTGTGGAGACATCGTTTAAAACATACTGAGCGTGTGGGAGCCTTTAGATATCCAAATACCAACTTGGCATCAGCGCAAAATACCTTGTCCGTACAAGATGTACGACAGCCGGACCCTCTGGAAGAACCAAAAAAAAAAAAACGCCGACCTCTCCTCGACTACTCTGAGACTCGGTGCGATGATTAATTCTCTTTATTTCCACACGGGATCTGGGAACTGTCGGTCAGTGAAGCATCTTTCTCCTGTTTAGCGAAGGACAGGTCTGATCTTAGCGTTTAACAGCATGTTAGGTACATGTGTCCACATGCACAAACCATTCGAGGTTATCTTTGCAAAAGAACATTGCATATATCAGAGTCTTGATCTCTATCGAGGGGAGAGAATTTATTTTTTCCAAATAGATACACGTGGAAGCTTTATTGTGTCCGTTGTGTAGTAGTCCTGCCTTATATTGACAGTAGATCTGAGAACGAACTTAATTTTAAATACATCAACGAGTTGCTTTCTCATATGATGCTGGTTGTGGTGTTGTTGGAAGCTGAAATCGCTGTAAGAAGGGTAGTTCGTTCTGTGTTGTGTATGCAAGAAAGAGGGTTGATGGGGAGAGAGGTAACTAAACATGACCACCCCCCAGATACATGCCAGAAAAAAAAAGGTAATTTTATTATTCAACCCAACGTGTCTGGGTTGCAGTTCAGCGAGAGAGAGAGAGAGAGACAGAGAGAGAGAGAGAGCTTGCGAGTTGCCTACTCAGAGGAGGACGCCCGCGATGTGTTTCCTTTAATGATTACTTAATTATTAACCGCAATAATCTGTTATTCACTCCCCCGAAAAAAGTGAACGACCTTAGTTTTCCTATTGGAGTCAATAAGGTCAGAATCTCTGACGCAGAGTCCATACAGGAGCCGTGAGCGGGGAGTTAATGCGGGGAAGCGTGAGCACACT